TATAGGTAACCACACGTCACAGGAAGGGGCAGTACATTAGGCATACACATCATAGGAAGGGGATGTACAATAGGCATTACAAGCAATAGGAGAGGGATTTACAATGGGCACAGGCGTAACAGGAAGGGGATGAGCTAGAGGTGGACACAGAATAGGAAGGGGAAGGACTAGAGGGATACATGTGACAAGAGGGGTAGACCCTAGATTCATGATGGCGGCCTAATCTTGGTTACACTTGAGTGGGCTTGACCTCCCTGGGCTCTCCTTCAGGGAAACAATCTACTACTATCTTTATCAGAAGGGAGTGGGCACTACTTGGTGTGGGATAAACAGTGGTGACTGCTTGCTCTGGATGGCTGATAACCCTTAGGGAGAATAACCCCTGACCAACTTCTGTTGACCTCCATGTGTACAGTCATCTGCCCCGTGTAGCAAGCAGCTAGGTTTGGCATCTATTTGAGGGCGACAACTTGGGAGAAATCCTTCTGTTTCCCACAAGGTGGTATTTCGTTTTATTGTTCACAGAATCACTGACTCAAGTGAATGGCGCCTAACAACAATGTAAGATCATTGAACAAATTCAAAGGGATCTTCCAACTTCAGGGCTGATCCCAGGTCCCTGTTAGACAGGAGGCCACTTGTGGGAGTTACTTATAGCAAAATCCCATACTCTGGTCCACATATTTCATGCACCACACTGCCTGTCTAATGAAAATTGGCTTTTGGCTAATAAAGCAAATACAAGCACCGCAACAGAAAAGGCCCATGGACTCAGAAGTGCACAAAGCAAAAATCTGTAGCTTTCCCCCCAAAAAACAGAGAGCAAACTTGTCTCTGTTCCTTCTCCCGATCGTCACAAACCTTCTTTACCTGCCTCCAACTTCCAACGTCTTGTGGATTGAATAAAGGTTTATAGAACAGATCATAGTTTTACTTGAGCAGTTCGTACACATCCTGGTTCAAGTTATCCATTGCAAGCCCTTCAAATGTACTCTCTCTTACCCCACTTCCTCCCTGTATTTCCAGTTTTCTGTTTCTCCTCCTCGCCTATGTCCTGGGATAAATGCAGCTCTGTTGACTCCAGTGGTTGATGGTTTGAATGTGATGATGAGTTCAGTCCCAGACTGGAAGGGTAAGGGCCATAGTTTTGGGGGTTTCACCACTCTCTATTGAACAATAAGCCTGGCCTCGCTCTTTCTTCCTTTTTTTCTTTTATTGGGAGCTTTTTTCTTTTTTTGAGGAATGATAACTAATCTAATTTCTGTTTTTTCATTTTTTTCTTTTAAAAATCATTTTATGGCAGCTTTTACATCTCTTTACAATCCATACATTCATCCAGTGTGTCAAGCATATTTGCACGTATGCCACCATCATTTTCAAAGCAGTCTCTCCCCACTTGAGCACGTTATCAGCTCCCCATTTCTTCCCCCTCCCTCCCCTGCCCACTCTCCCTCATGAACCCTTGATAAGTTATCGATTATTATTTTTGTATCTTACATCGTCCTCCATCACCCCTCACCCCATTTTCCATTATTCATCCCCCTGGGAGGAGGTTATAGGCTGATCCTTGTGATTGATTCTCCTGTTCTCCCCCCACCCTCCCCTAATCCTTCTAATATCTCTATTCTCATTATTGGCCCTGAGGGGTTGATCTATCCTGAATTCCCTGTGTTGCAGGCTCTTATCTGTAGCAGTGTACATGTTCTGGTCTAATCGGTTTGTCTTTTTTTGTTGTTTTTGTTTTTTTCTTTTTCTAATCCAGTTTGTAAGGCAGAATTGAGGCCATGATAGTGGGGGGGAAGGAAGCACCAAAGGACTAGAGGAAAGTTGTGTGTTTCATCGGTGCTATACTGCACCCTGACTGGTGCATCTCTTCCCTGTGACCTTCTGTGAGGGGGTGTCCAATTGTCTACAGATGGGCATTGGGTCTCCACTCCATGCCCCCACCTCCCTCACATTGGGTATGGTTTTGTTCTGGGCCTAGCCTGGCCTCTCTTATCTATCCAACCTTCTGTGAGGGGGGTGTCCAATTGTCTACAGATGGGCATTGGGTCTCCACTCCATGCTCCCTACCCCGCTCACATTGGGTATGGTTTTGTTCTGGGCCTAGCCTGGCCTCTCTTATCTATCCAAGTCTATCCAAGACTTCCAAATGTGAGCCTTTCAGAGCAGTTGGGTGCCATCTAGTTCTGGTTAAAGTGTATTTTAAACGCCCTCAGCTACCTCTCTGGGAACAAGTAATTCTTTTATTTGGAAAGCATTTATTCTAGCCACAGAAAGGCTTAAAAAGAGGATTTGCCAACCCTCAGACCCTCCATGGGTAGCTCCCTGGCTGGGCCATGCCCTCTGGGGAGACTTGCTTATCAAGCCTGGCTGCAAATGGCCCCAGAACCCTGAGAGACAGACGTATAGCCTCTGGCAACTTCAAAATGAGCGCAACTCTGCTGGGACTTTGAGGGGACAAGTCGTTTGGGGGGTCTGGGGCCACCTGGTATTAGGCCCCTCTGTTCTGCACCATCAGTCTCATGGGAAAAGCAGGTGTCCCTCATTCATTCATTCATTCATTCATTCTTGTGCAGCATCTTAGGGAGCTGGGCAGGGCGGATGCTTGCCAACTGAATGTTGTCTGAACCAGTAAATCTCACCTTGCAATGTGTTTCCCTCCTGTCTGCCTGGGGAAATGCAAAACCAGCTCTGGAGACCCCGCCAACCCCTCTTTCTCCTTGGAGTCGGCCCCGACCATCACCACCACCAGAGGCTGAGTGGAGGCCCTGCTCACCTGGGCTTGCCCAGCTGTTGCCACTGTGTTCTAAGGCCCTGTTCTCCCAGCGGACTGTGACCACATCAAGGACAAGGCTTATTTGTCTTTGTCTATCCATGTGTGGGGGTCAGGAGGGGGCACAGGCCAAAGGCAGCCTTGTCATCTGAGGGGACAGAACTTACAAAGAAAGCTTAGACCAGCATCAAACAGCCTGGTGCGGTACGGGGAGGAACATGCCTGAGAGGCGGGGTATACAGGTGCGGGTACCAGAGAGGAGACTGACAAGACTGGGGATCTCAAGGGCTCTAGGGCTGATCCCACGTAGAGGCTGCCCTGGGAGGGGCTGAAGTGGAAGCAGGGAGGCCAGGGAGAGAGGGAGGAAGGCCACCTCTCCTGACCTCCTGAGGCCCTGCAGAACTTTGAAGGCAGACAAGACAGCTGAGGTCCCTGGAAAGGACCAGGTTTGCCCAGCCAATGCCATTGATATTTCACACACTGGCACTACCTTGGGATCCTGTGGCCTCCTTCTTAGCAATTTGTGGGGCTGGGCCCCAGGAAGCATGGCAGCTGAGCAGACAGAAGAACCAGAACTCCCCCCCTCCACCCCGACGGAAGAGCATGATCTCTCCTGAACTCCTCTGTCCTGCAGCTTCTATTCCAAGGACAGCGAAGGCAGCTGGTTCCGCTCCCTCTTTGTCCATAAGGTGGATCCCCGGAAGGATGCCCACTCGACCCTGCTGTCCAAGAAGGAGACCAGCAACCTGTACAAGATCCAATGTGAGTGGCTGCTGTGCTGCTGGCCCCGCCCGAGACACCCCAGCAGGGAGATGGGAGGGTCCCCCACAGACGTACCCAGCCTCGGCTTCATGTACCCTTCTCTGCTCTCTCGTAGTTCACAATGTGAAGCCTGAGTGTCTGGATGCCTACAACAGCCTGACGTGAGCGCCCTGCTGCCCTGGCTCTGCTTCGCCCCTTCCCTCCCACAGCCCCTTGGGTCCCCTCCCTGCTCCATGCTCCTTGCAGAAACGAGGGCCTGCAGATTCCAGAGCTGGAAGGCCTAAAGCCTCTGATCTTAAAAGATGAGCTGAGAGAAAGGCCCAGCCTTGTCCCAGGGGCCCTGCTCCAGGGTGTGAGTCTGTCCCCTCTCTGTCTCTTCCCCAGGGAGGCTGTGCTGCCCAAGCTGCACCTGGACGAGGACTACCCGTGCTCACTGGTAGGCAACTGGAACACCTGGTACGGGGAGCAGGACCAGGCAGGTAAGGGACTGCCATCACCCCTCCTCTCACTCCCCTGCTTATCTACCCATCATGGCTCCCACCGCCCTGGCTATGGCCCTGGAGGGTCCAGGAGCCCGGCCCCACCCAGACTCAGCTCCTCCTTCCCCTGCTCCCTGTGTGGCCCCCAACTCAGAACTTCTTGCTTCTCACCTCAGCAGCTGGACCCTCTATTTCCAGGCCAGTGTGCACACTCTTTCTTTGGCCTACACATTCTTTCTCTCCCGGGACCGCAGCCCTTGCCTCCTCTCAGCCCTGGTCCTGCCCTCGTCACGACCTGCCTGCTCACCAGTCTCTTCCCAGACCTGGCTGACCCCTCGGCCTTCCCCGTCCGCTGGTGGAATAAATGGGGGCACTTGTTGGAGCTGGTTCCTTACTACTTTCCAGGAGTGCTCTCGGGACTGCCCAGCTCAGTTTGTGCTGGCTGCCAGAACCCCACCCATGAAGTTGTTTGGCCCCCGGCATCTCAGTCACTCAAAAGGGTCTTAGCATGTAGATCGGTGCGTTCAAAATGGCAGCCAATAGCAACTCACCCTACTGAAATTTAAGTTAAAATGAAAGAAATGAAACACTCAGGTGTATTTCAAGTGCCAACCCCAGCCTTGGCTGCCATCTTGGTTGGCACTGGGTTAGCCTGTCTGCACAGCACAGGGAACGCGCACTGCTGGCCACAGGGAGCTCACTAAGCCAGCCTGCTCATCCTTGACCATGCTGGCCGTTGCACTTGCTTGGAAAGCGGGGAGTGGGTCACACAGTGTGGGGATGGTGCCGGACCCTGTTGTGGAGCTGCCATGAGTCGGAACGGGCTCAAAGGCAGCTTTATTAGAAGGATGTGATGACAGCAATTCAAATCCGGCTGAGTGTTTTCAGGGAAAAGTAAGCATCCTTCCACCCACAGCCCTGGCCCTCACTTCTCTCCGTGCTGAGCTCTGGGTGCTATGTCATGAGACGGTACCATGGCAGGGTGTCTGGAAATGTCCTTCCCCACCCTTTAAGCACCTGGGGTGGCCCTCGGAGCACAGGGTACTGTGTTGGCTTCATTGGGTTTCTGTAATTCGCTGTGCTGGAGAGTCTTGGGTGTCTGCCCATTAGACCCATCCCTCCTCTCAGCCAGCCTCCGGCTTGCTGCTCCCAGGAGAATATCCGATCCACTTGCTGTGGTCACAGCAAGACTTCCTGATGAAAACAGGGCGCTCAGCCAGGCTGGGCACCACACACACACACACACACACACACACGAGCTGGCCTTAGGGTGAGCAGGGTGGGGTCCCAGCAGGCTCTGACCCAGCCCCCCAACCACTGACAGTGCACCTGTGGCGATTCTCCGGTGGCTACCCAGCCCTCATGGACTGCATGAACAAGCTCAAGAACAATAAGGTAGGTTGCCCTCCGGCCAGGCCCGCACCCCTGGGCCATCCTCTCTGGATGATGGTCCAGCTCAGGCCCCCAGGTTTGGTGGGGGCACTTCCTGATTGCCCTGCTCATAGGAGTACCTGGAGTTCCGGAAGGAACGGAGTCACATGCTGCAGTCCCGGAGGAACCAGCTGCTTCTAGAGTTCAGCTTCTGGAACGAGCCACAGCCCCGGGCGGGCCCCAACATCTATGAGCTGAGGACCTACAAGCTCAAGGTGCCCGCCTCCCACCTCCCCTGCTGAAGCTCTGTGGTGCAGGTTGCCCTGAGGTGGGCCCTGGGCACCCAGACTGGTCCTCGGGCCTCCCCTCATGTACTCACCCCTGTCCACATACACATCCTTATGTGTGAGGCAGGGCCGGCGTGGGGCTGAGCAGCACCTCTGGAGAGCTGACACTGGGCAGGGCCCAAGGGCTCACTCACACCCCTTCTCTGCCTCTTTCAGCCGGGGACCATGATCGAGTGGGGGAACAACTGGTGAGTGGCCGTGTTGAGTGCTGGGGAGGGGCGTGCGTATCATCCTTCCCCAGGGCTGTGTTGTAGGGCACCCAGCATCCTCTGCCCTCCAGGGTGCCGGGAGGAAAAGGTCTAAGCGGGGGGGAAGGGCCTGCTGGTTGAGTGGAGGCCTGCACTGGGAGAGCATGCAGTGGTACCTGCTGCTCCAGGAGGGTCAGGGGCATGGCTATCCCCCAGGAGGTGGGGGGCCAAGGAATCAGCCTGGGGACACCCTTCAAGGAACCCTGTGCACCGGCCACATTCCAGATGGCCCCGTGTTCTGGCCGCTGCAGAGACTTTTCTGTTTTCCCTAGGGCCCGGGCCATCAAGTACCGGCAGGAGAATCAGGAGGCAGTTGGTGGCTTCTTCTCGCAGATAGGAGAACTCTACGTCGTGCACCATCTCTGGGGTAGGCTGGGGGCCCCTCTGGGAGCCCTTTGACAGTCGGTGTGGACAGTGGGGATACTGGTACCCTCCTGGAGCTGACTTGCTGGCTTGAGGAGAGACCACCTCAGGTGGGAACTCACAAGCAAGATTAGTTGAGAGGATCACAAATGGCCTTGCAGAAAAGAAATGAACAGATGCCATAGAGCGAAACATAGGAGACCTCCCTTGGCTTGGGTAGCCAAGGGCGGGAGTTCTGAGGGGATGAGATGTAAGAACAGAGCTAAAGGGTGAGAAGGAGCCAGCGCTGAGATGCTGCAGGAAGGGCATTCCAAGTGGAAGGAACAATATCTGCAAAGGGTTTGGAGGAGGAGAAAGGAGATCAGTATGTTGAGGGCAGGGAAGAGTGTAGGGTGCTGGGGTAGGACTGGGGCCCAAGGAAAATCAGGCTGGACCTCACAGACCAGGAGGGGATGGTAGGAGGGTTTTCCCTCCGATTGCAAGGCAAGGCTGCTGCAGTATTTGAAGCCTCAGCAAGATAATCTGATTTCTGTTCGGATGTGGTTCCTCTGGCAGCCGTGTGTGGAGCGGTGTGTGGGAGGGCAGGAGAAGAAGATTGTAAGGCCAGGAAGGTAAGATCAGGCCAGGTCAGAGAGGGTGGTAGCCTGGCCTAAGCTGGTGGCAGTGAGTACCATTTGCTAGCTTGGAGGTAGAACCCAAGGGACTTGTGGATGAATTGGCTGTGCGGGGCGGAAGAGAGGGAGGGAGCTTCCAGAATTCCCAGGCTCCTGCTTGAGCTGCTGTGTGGATTCTGCTGTCACTGAGTCGGGAAGGAGCAGCTTGGAGGGCCAAGAGTGTACCTGACCCAAGGAAGGATTTCGTTTGAGATGCTGGTACATCCATTGACACCAAGGGGTATAAGATGTACAAGCAGAGCCTGCAGGAGAGGTCCGGGCCGGAAACAGAAGTTGGGGAGCTGTCAGCCTCTGTACGGGCTAGATGTGGTTATCAAATGAGACAGGGCTTGCTAACAGCCCAAAGCATCTTGGGGAGGAGGAGATGGCAGGGCAGGGTTTGGGGCAGTAGGAGCAGGGGGCAGGGGGGATGAGCCTGTGTCCTCTCTCCCACAGCCTATAAAGACCTGCAGTCCCGGGAGGAGACTCGAAACGCTGCCTGGAGGAAGAGAGGCTGGGATGAGAATGTGTACTACACAGGTGCGGGCTGTTTGTGGGTGTCAGTGGGCCCTTGGTCCTCTGCCAGGAGCCCTTCTGCCGGAGGTCCAGCCTCACTGATCACCTCCAGCGATGGGGAAGACAGAGCTAGTGAGCTTCCATCTGGGTCACCCCTCAGCTGTCGGGAAGCTTCCTGCAGCTAATCTACAACGAGGGCTTTGCCCAGGGGCTTGCTCGGAGGGAGGACACCACGCAAAAGGGCCTGCTGTTTCTGCTGAGGGAGTTTGCCACTTTGTTGGTGACCCCTGAGAACCATCTGGACTTGGTAGGCATTGACTGTGAGCCCTTGGTGAGGTGGGAAGGTGGGTGGAGAAGACAGATGAACAGAAGCCTGTCCCTGGTTTTGAGGAGCATATAGATGGCAGCTGGTGTGTTTGCTGAAGGAGTCAGTGGGAGCCTGGCTACTCGGAGTGGTGCCCAGCGGACTCCATCAGCCTTCTGGAGGAGCTTATTAGAAGTGCAGAATCCCAGGCCCTCCCAGACCTACAGAATCAGAATCAATACTTTAAGAGCTTTGAGACATTGGACATGACTGGTGATTTGTGGGCGTATTCAAGTTTGAGCAGCTCTGGGTAGGAGGGAGTGTCCACTTCCAGGTGACCTTGGCCTGTAGTTTTCCCATTTGTTACATGAGGCCATTGGACTAAACCAGTGTTTTTCAAACCTCAGCCACTTGACTCCCTTGCAGCTTGCTCTGCCGGCATACTATCACCATATTTATTTTCTTGTTATTGCCTCTACATTATCTTTGTTCTTCACCATATCCATGAACGCACTAGGCTCATTGCTTTTTCCACATGTACCGGATATTTGATACCGAATGTTCCTTTTTAAAAAAATGTGTCTCTCATTACCATGGAGACGACTCAAACTCATTGCCACTGAGCTGATTCTAACTCACAGCCACCGATCTTCCCGGAAACAGATAACCTCCTTCTCCTCTGGCAGAGTAGCCCGTGGGTTTGAACCACTGACCCTGCCCGCACTCAACAGTCCAATGCTTACCCAGCAGGGCCACCAGGGGCCTCTGCACCTAAGGACAACACCAACCTCCCTGACATGGAGCCAATTCAGACCCATCGAGACCCTATAGGACGGAGCTGCCCCTGTGGGCTTCCAAGGCTGCAAGTTCTATTTATTTACTTACTTCTTTTGGAAGAGTCTTTGAATTATTGCTGTGAATCAGGTGGGGGAGTTTACATTTTAGACCACCGACTGTGCAGTCAATAGTTCACACCAATTTTCCACCACTCCCCCCAGCCCCACCCCCAGATCTTCTTACGGAGCCCCAATCCTCCCAGTCACCAAATTAGTGCCATCATGCAGCCAGCCCTCCAGTCTGTTGCTTCTTCTTCCCACCCTCGCCCTCCCAAGACTGTAAATCTTTATGGGAGCGGAAAGCGTCATCATTCTCCGACACCGTGGCTGGTGGGTCTGAAGTGAAGACCTCCAGGTGAGCAGGCCAACACGTGACCCACTACTCAATCAAACACCAAACTGACTGCCGTCGAGTAGAACTGCCCCGCGGGTTCTGGAGACGCGAACTCTTCGAGGAGTAGGAAGCCTCATTGTTGTCCTGTGGTGGTTTAGAACTGCTGACCTTGAAGTTAGCAGCCCAACATGGAACCCAGTATGCCACCAGGGCTACGGCAGTCCACTTCAGTCCCCTCTAATTCCACAGGGTGGTGAACCTGGCCTTTTCCCATGGGGCCTTCCAGGAAGACTCTGAGACTTTGCTGGCTTAGCCCATATGCAGTCTCCCCTACCTGCAAAGGCCAGTTGGGGTGGGTGCTTGCCACAGTCCCCTTGGTGACCTCTGCTTCTTTGTCCACAGTCCCCTTGGTGCGACACATGGAGTCTCGGATCATGATCCCCTTGAAGATCTCGCCTCTCCAGTGATGTTGCCTTCACCCCCAGGGCAGCCCCGGACCGAGGTGCTTCCAGTCCTGCTCACACCCCTTCATCTCACGCTGGAGGGGTTTGAGGGTGGCGCCAGTTCAGGCAAAGGGGCAATGAAGGACAACAGGTCTGAGGACTGGCAGCTCTGCACAGACCCTGCCACCTTCCCTGCCCTCCTTCTTCCTCTCATGTTGGAAAGCTTCTTGTCTCCCTGACCTCTGACAAGAGCTGCAGCCCGCCATCTGTCTTCCACACCTTCCCCTAAGATGCCTGAGCTCATGACGCCCCAGCCCTGGTTACTACCACAGAACCCCCCCCCCCAGTTCACTTTAGTTGTACAAAGGGTAGTGTGTCCAGTGTGAGAGATGGAGTCGGAAGCCAGTGGTTAAGACTGGCCAGGTTCCTGGCCTCCACTGGGCCCACACACTCGCTAGACTATCTGAGCCAAGTCCCTCCTGCTGCCCACGGCCTGGAACTGCCCCAAACTCTCACAGTCACAAGATTAGGAGGTCAAGACATTCCACTGAGTAAGGCCTGGAGACAAGATGGAGCAAGGAGCACCTGGGTTTGAGTTGCAGCATCTGGAATCCAACACTAGGAAGACAGGATAGAACTGAAGACCAGGCAGGAGGGGTTCTAAGACAAGTTGGACAGGGAGAGGATCATTTGATTCTCCCTAAGTCTTGGGGTTGAAGCTGAATGTAATTCCAGTCCTTTTGTGGGGGATAGTGTGTCCCCCCTCACCCTGCTGCAGGCAAAGGGGTAAAGCTGGGTCTTTATTTCCCACACCAGCATTCTATCTCTCAAGCCATGTTCCATTCCCCAACCCTCATTCTCCTGTGTCACCTGGTGTGTGGAGTAGGGGCTAGTAGCTCAGGGGGGCCTGAATCCAGGAAGCTCACATCTCATGAACCCTTTGGTAGCTTGATTCTGCCTCCCAGAAAGACTTGTGCTAGAGTTACTGATGGCACTGATTAAATATTTACCGCAAAGCCGAGTGTATTTTCTTCATCTGTGAGAAACTGGCAGATGCCAGAGGCAAGGCAGAGCTGGCGGGCTATCTGGGCTCCTTTGGCTGAAGTATCTTTGAGCTTACCCAGGAGGCAGAGTGACGCTGTCTGCTTCCATAAAGATTTACAATCTCAGCAAGTCCAAGGTACATGCATTCTATACTAACAGTGTGACCGTGGGTTTTAGGAACTGCCTTGTATAACCAGGGATTTAGGACATGGGTGCTTGGAGCTCCGGATCAGTGTCTCCCAAAGTGGGTGATTCTTTCCAAACCCCCACCCCACCACCACTGGGACAATGGGGGGCATGGGCTGCAAAAGCAGATACCTACACTTTATCCTGGATTAGGGGATATAGCCCAAAAGGTTTTAATTGCCAGGAAGGTGCTGGGTTGTTTTTTTTTGTTTTTGATAAGAGGGCAGTAGGCCAAAGAACCTAACTCGGAACCTAAACTCTAGGGCAGTGGTTCTCAACCTTCCTCATGCCGCACCCTTTCATACAGTTCCTCATGGGGTGGTGACCCCCACCAATAACATTATATTTGTTGCTACTCCATAACTGTAATGTTGCGACTGTTATGATTGGGCGACCCCTGGGAAAGGCTCTACAGGTTTTAATTGCCAGGAAGGTGCTGGGTTGTTTTTTTTTGTTTTTGATAAGAGGGCAGTAGGCCAAAGAACCTAACTCGGAACCTAAACTCTAG